GCCGGTACTTAGAGGTGGCGTGGCACCGTGGTGGCTCTGTGACATCACGTCACTGTCCTGACCTCATAGCCGCAGCGAGGCTGCGTGGGGACTGCTCTCAGGAGAGCTGCTGAAGCAGAGCTGGGGGAGCTGCCCTCCCGGGAAGGGGAGCACGTCCCGTCGGGCAGCTCCGTCCAAGGGCTGGGACACGGTCCCAAGGTGATTACTGAGACAGTGGGAATGGGTTTTCTGAAGGACAGATGGTACCTGTCCTGGTTTGGCCGGCCCAGAACCCCAGCCCAGCCACACCAGGCAGGCTGTCAGCAGTTCCCAGTCAGCCAGGGCAGCCGCCCTGAGTCAGCTACAGGTGTCGCCCAGCCCACACTGTCCTCGTCACTGTCACAGGGGAAGGTATGCTGAGGAGGGGGAGCTCCTGGGGGCTTCCTCCTGCTCCTCCGGACTGCTCTCTGGCCAACTGTGACAACTGGATAGTCATTTGGCCGAGCAGAACTCTGTCGGTATTGGTGCTCTCTCATTAAAAACTCTTCTCACATCTGTCCACGAGTCGGCTCTCCTTTTCCCAGTTCCCCTCCCTGCCTGGCGAGGGGCTGTCGGGTGACAGCGCGACCGTTACGGATTCGCCCCAGGTACAGGCTGGACGCAGACGGTACAGCCTGCACTGCGACTCGTTCCTACGACTCTTGACAGATCCAAGTGCTTCTAGTGTATTCTCTCTGCAGAACGCCATTCACACCCTGAGCACTGCATCTGAGCCTTAAACCACACCGTTAATTCCATAGAAACCTACGTACTAAGGCGAGGTCAAGAACTTATGGAAGGGAATGACAAAATAAATGTATTTGAAAGCGATTAACGCCAGGCTACGACACTTCACACTTCTGGGAACCTGCCTGATGATTTGTCCAGAACAGTCAACAAGAGGCTCGCCCGGGCGCCCCTTTTAAATCGTTGCCAGGTACAGAGCCTGCCTACCACTTTTCTCCTTACATCCTCTCTCTGCATTCCTTTGCTAGTTAATGCAAAAGCCTTTCCGCTTTTCAGGCTAACGTCTGCGCTCCCTCTGCACATTTTAACTTTGGAAAACTTATCGGCCAGGTTTTCTTTTGGCTCTCCTGGTCGGGTCAGAACCAGCTTTTTGGAAATCTAACAAACGCAGGACACGTCCCCGAACTCGCTGTCCTAACTGCTCTCAAGATGGGCTGGGAGGGAACACACACCAGCAACTCTATTCCCAACCCGTCACTGTTGCACATGCTTAATGCAAGGAGTGGGAGACACCGTCCTCGTACCCAATTCCATTCAATGCTTTTAGTCTGGTTTCCCAGGCACGTGTATGGGTCCGCCCTTCTTCCCCTCCTTCCTCTGGAGCCCACCGACCACTTTCAAGCCGCCTACGTAACTGAAAGCAGCGCAAGGAGAGCAGGTTCCCACGCGCTTCGTGATGGGTTTCCACGAGCAGTCGCTAACGTGAAAAGAGGGTGCGACATAAGTCCAAACGTTTTCTTGACGTTACAGGACTGGACTCGCGTGGCAATGGTAGAGAAACGAAACGGTGAAAAACCCTCCCCCTGCCACTTGCACGTCCATCAGTAGGTAAGGGAAAACCCAGAAGCAAACAGCAGACAGGAACTTAGGTTTTACCAGCCCCAGTGCCACGGGACCGTGCGCTTCCACATTCACCGGGCTGAGACGCTCCCTCCAGGCCCCACGTTGCCAGGTCTTCTCACACCTGTTTTGCCTGTGCTTTGTGACCACCTTCTCGCTTGGCGTGATCTCTAGAGGCACGTGTACTGACAAGTTCACTGTTAAGCAGAACAAACAGAGCTGGGACCGACCACGAATGTGATCGCCCTTCTCTCTTGCTTCTCACTTGGAGCCTGCCAAGGTGCTTTCCTAAGGTGCTGTTCAGCTGCCGCCAGATGGCAACGAATGTCGCGTCCAGAAGGTCACCTGAGCTCCACCTGGCTAAGTTACAGCTTGGCATCGCCTGCTGCGGCAGTCAGGCACAGCTTAGCGAGCCGAATGCTCAGAGGAACTTCACTGGCACTTCTGACCTCTTCCACTTGGGGCAGCCGATGCTCAAGTCCCGTACGAGGAAATCCACAGCAGCCAGTGACAACATACCACCTCCTCACGGCACCTACAGTTCGGGTCAGAATGACGGCTTTCTACATCGCCCCTTTTGTCAAAGAACTCTGCTTGACCCATTCTTCGTAACAAGTGGTTTGGACATCTGACCTCTTCTCTTCTCTCCCGATACCAGCTGCGCTTGCCCACAGCGTCGGTTGTTCACATTTTCTACACCGTGATCCGCTCTTAGATGAGGAAAAGCATCTAGGCTCTCTGATTCTTCTCTCTCTCCTAAAGAAACAGAGCACGAGGTGAGCAGGACTACGTGGCTCTACTGCCAGACCAAGGGCTCTTCCTAGGATATTGCATTTCAAGACACGGAGTTTCAGTGTCCCTTGATCGGCTTTTAAAATACTTAGTGCTATTGAAAACGGCCCACGAATCCACAACGGGTGTTCCAGTGAAAGAGATGGGCTGGCGTCTCTTCTTCAAATACAAGACTTGAGTTCAGCAAAAAGTGATAAAACCATTCGCTGGCCAAAGAAAAATTTCACGTCACGTCAACGCCTCTCTGGCACCCAACCGGACATATCGTGGAACTGCTCTCCAAGGCAAAACCAGCATCACTTCCCAACGATGGGTAGAACGAGCCACTGCCAACAACGACTCGGCGCGCGACTGGCAAAGCGCAGGCCCAGAAGAACACCCTCAGTCAGTGAGTACGCCTGCTTTGAAAACAAGTGTCTCCTCTCCAGAGGGCTTCAGTTTTCAAAAACGCTTCTGCATCCCTCCTCGCTTCTCTGGCAGCTGCCTGCCTTAGCACAGCACTCTGCTCCTCCAGCAAACCCAGCCCTCCAGCAGTCCTCCCTGCAGACAGCACAACCTGCAATGACTGAAAACGTGAACTTACACGGACCTCCTACGGCCTTCCTCCACACGGCTCCTGGGGAACGGCATTTAATAACCACTCCCTCTAGTAAAGCCGGTGTGCTGGCAAGCGTTATCGCAGCGCCTCCGCCAACCACAGCGGGAAGGTGGCACCACACTGCTGAGGGTTGCTTGGACAGTCGTCCTTCTGGGTATTCCCTCCCCATCGGGTGACCTACGGCGGGAGCGCAGGAGCTATCGCCGCACTTCTCGGCCATACCTGGCAGACACCGGGCACACGCGTCTCGCCCTAACTGGGGCTGTAGCTTCTGCATTCACCAGCAAATGAGCCAAGGGACACCTGAAAGTAAAGACTAAGAAGTACCTCAGCAGCCGACCCAATCTATTTGGCAAAGCCTCACCTGCACAAGGATGAAAAGTGCACTGGGGTTCACCTTTGAGGCATCACCACCCGGTTTGGTCACCAGGCAAAACATCTGCCTTACCCAGACAGGTGTCAGGTCCCTGTTTAACCTGTCCCTTGCTCTCACCCAAACCAAGGCTCCACCCCCCTTGTCCCATTTGTGACAAAAGCCATTACTGCTGAAGGAAGAGAGGACACCACACCCATCAGAACCTCCTCATTCAAACTCTCTCAACTTTTAGGAGATTGTCAAGAACGCCCAAAAGTTTCATTCTTTCTAAATCTTCTCAAAACAAGAAAACAGAAAAGCTTACTTGCAAAGCAAGACTGACAAGAATACTCTGTGCACTCACCCCTTTTTTAAGGTCTCTCCATCCCAACGATCTTGTGAAAATTCAGAGGCACAGAAGGCAGATCTGTGTTTGAAGTTTGTTTTCAACCATGGTGTTTCCCTGCGACTGGGCTCCCTGGGGCCAGGGCACGACACGAGGGGGCAGCAGAGAGGGGACAGACAGCAGCAAGTCAGGCAGGGCCCAGCCCTGCGCTGAGGGTCCCCCGGGTCCAGCTGGGTGACTCAGAGTCCCTGGGGTCCCTCTGGGTGCTGCAGTGTCCCCGTGGCCCAGCCTGACAGCACTGGGGTCCCTGGCTCCAGCCCAGTGCTGGGCGGGTCACGGAATCACAGACTGGTCAGGGCTGGAAGGGACCTCTGGAGATCCTCTAGTCCAACCCCCCCTGCCAGAGCAGGACCACCTACAGCAGGTCACACCAGACTGTGTCTAGGCAGGATTTGAATATCCCCAGGGAAGGAGACTTCACAACCTCCCTGTCCATGCCAATGTCTCACCGACCCCTCTCCGCCAGCAGGTTTTTCGGCACTTTTCGGTACGGGCCGTACGCCTACCTGCTGCTGGAGATCTACCAGGGCGGTGAGCTGTGGACCAAGCTGCAGGAGATGTATGGAGTTGCAGGGAGCCAGGCCGTGCCGTGCCAGGCCATCACTGTGTCCCTGCCGTGCAGGTGCTGCTTCGAGGAGCTGCTGGCTGTGTTTTGCTGCGCCTGCGTGGTCAAAGGCCTGGAGTACCTGCACGGCCGTGGCATTGTCTACCGCGACCTCAAGCTCAAGAACCTCATGCTGGACCAGCGCAGCTTCATCAAGCTGGTACTGGGGAGGGTGTCCCGGCAGCCAGGGGTTGGGGGCAGCGGGGGGGCTGAGCCAACTGACGGCACCGGCGCCCGCAGGTTGATTTTGGCTTTGCCCAAGAGCTGGGGCGAGGGGAGAAGACATACTCCTTCTGCGGGACTCCCAAGTACCTGGTGCCAGAGACGCTGCGCCAGGAGGGCCACGACTTCACCATCGATTTTTGGATGCTGGGCATCCTCGCCTTCAAGCTGCTGGTGGGGAGGTGAGAGGGCGTCATCGGGGCCAGCCAAGGGGCCATCCCCCCACCCCAATTCCTCCACTGTGGCGAGGGGCCCCG